GCCTGCGGTCTGGAGAGACCCGGGTTCAGTTCCCGCTAAGGGCACGTACCTCGGTTGCAGTTTGTCCCCGGCCCTGGTTGGTCATGCGGGTGGCAGCCACTCAATGTGTCCCTTCACGTCGATGTTTCTCTCTCTCTCTCCCTTCCTCACTCTCCCTCCCGCTCTATCTGTACAAAAAATGGAAAAATATCCTCGGGTGAGGATAAAAAAAAAAAGGAGATAGAAAACATAAAAATAAACCAGTCATAAACAAAGAATACAATAACTGAAATGAAGAATATATTACAGGGAATCAACAGTGGAATAGATGAAGCAGAGGATCACATCAGAGATTTGGAAGACAGGGTGGCAGAAAACACCCAATTGGAATGGCAAAAAAAAAGAAAGAAAGAATTTTTCAAAAACATATGCATTTATTGATTTTTTAGAGAGAGAGGAAGCAAGAGCGAGATAGAAACACGGATATGAGAGAGAAACATAGATTGGCTGTCTCTTGCACACCCCCTACTGGCAATCAAGCCTGCAACCCAGGCATATGCCCTAACTGGGAATTGAACCAGGACCTCTCAGTTCATGGGACAACGCTCAATCTACTGAGTCACATGGGCAGGGCCAAAAAAAAAAAGAAAAGAGAAAGAGAGAATATTTGGCCTTGGCTAGTGTGGCTCAGTTGGTTGAGCATCATCTCATGCACTGAGAGGTCACCTGTTCAATTCCCAGTCAGGGCGTATGCCTGGGTTGCAGACTTGATCCTCAGTAGGGGGCATGCAGGAGGCAGCAGATTGATATTTCTCTCTCTCTCCCCCACTCCCTTCCTCTCTCTCTAGAAAAAAAATCAATAAAAAAAGGAGAGAGAGAATATTTGCCATGGCCAGACTGGCTCAGTTGGTTGGAGCATCATCCCATGCACCAAAATATTGCAGGTTCAATTCCCAGTCAGGGCACATACCTAAGTTGTGGGTTCGATCCCCAGTTGGGGCATGTATGGGAGGCAACTGATCAATGTTTATGTCACATCGATGTTTCTCTCTCTCTCTCTCTCTCTCTCTCTCTCTCTCTCTCAAAATCAATAAAAACATATTCTCAGGTGAGGATTTTGAAAAGAGAATATTTTAAGGGACCTCTGGAACAACATCAAGCCTAACAAAATTGTATCATAGAGTTATCAGAAGGAGGAGAGAGAGAGCAGAAATTAAAAACCTATTTGAAGAAGTGACTAAAAACTTCCCTAGCCTGGCTAAGGAAATAAACATACAGTTCTAGGAACCACACAGAGAATCCAAAACAAGATGAAGCCAAAGAGGCCCAGTCCAATATACATTATAATTAAAATACCAAATGTTAAAAATAAAGAAAGAATCTTAAATTATTTTAATTTTTTAATCCTCAACCAAGGACTTTTTTTTTTTATGCGCATTTATCTTCAGATAGAGTGGGAGGGAGTAAGGGAAGAAGAGAGAGAAACATTGATGTGTTGACTGGTTGCCACCCACATGACCCCAACCGGGGCCAGGGACAAACTGCAACAAAGTGCGTGCCCTTAGCGGAAACCGAACCCAGGTCTCTCTGGACCACAGGCTGACACTCTAACCGCTGAGCCAAACCAGCTAGGGCTAAAGAGAGAATCTTAAAAACAGCAAGAGAAAAGAAGTTAGTTACCTACAAAGGTGCTCCATAAGACTATCAGTTGACTTCTGAACAGAAACTTTGCAGGACAGAGGGATTGGCACAAAATATTGAAAGTGATGAAAAGTAAGAAGCTATAACCAAGATTACTCTACCCAGCAAGGCTATGATTTCAAATTGAAAGAGAAATAAAGAGCTTCCCAGACAAGAAAAAGTTGAAGGAATTCATCATCACCAAGCCAGTATTACAAGAAATGTTAAAGGGACTTCTTTAGCCCTGGCCAGTTATGCTCAGTGGTTAGAGCATCAGCCCACAGACCAGAGAGTCCCGGGTTAGGTTCCCACTAAGGGCACATACCTCAGTTGCAGTTTGTCCCTGGCCCCTGTTGGGGTTGTGTGGGTAGCAACCAATCGATGTGTCTCTCTCTCTTCCCTCCTCTCTCCCACCTGCTCTATCTGAAATAAATGCAAAAATATCCTTGGGTGAGGAAAAAAAGGGGGGGACTTCTTTAAGAAGAAGAAAAATAAATAAATAAATAATATGAATAAGAAAATATTGCAAATAAAAAATTCTCACTGACAAAGGCAAACACATCATACAAGCAGTAGATCAAACAACACTAAAGCTAGTACAAAAGTTAAAAGGCAAAAGTAGGAAGATTATATGTAATTTCAACAGAAAATTATGAGAAACACACAAACACACACACCCACACCCACACAAAAAAAATAATGACAAAAAACATAAATTTGGCCCTGGCCGGTTTGGCTCAGCAGTTGGAGCATCAGCCTGCAGACCAGAGAGTCCTGGGTTTGGTTCCCACTAGGGGCATGTACCAAAAAAAAAAAACATAAATTTGTCCAGCCGGTGTGGCTCAGTGGTTGAGTGTCGACCCACGCACCAAGAGGTCACCAGTTCAATTCTTGGTCAGGACACATGCCCAGGCTGTGGGCCCAAGCCCCAGTGCAGGGCATGCAGGAGGCGGCCAATTGATGTTCTCTCTCATCGATGTTTCTATCTCTCCCTCTCACTTCCTCTCTCTCTAAAATCAATAAAGGGAAAAAAGATATATATATAAATGTAGCCCTGGCCAGTTGCTCAGTGGTTAGAGCTCAGGCCCGCAGATCAAAGAGTTGTGGGTTCAATTCCAATGGAGGGCACATAAGTCGGTTGTGGTTTGTCCCTGGCCCTGGTCAGGGTGATGTGGGAGACAGCCAATAGACGTGTCTCTCTCACGTCAATGTTTCTCTGTATCTCTCTCTTCCCTGCCCTTTGAACTCTATCTGAAGATAAATGGAAAAATATCTTGGGTGAGGATTAAAAATAAATAAATAAATGTGGAGGGGGTGAATAGAAATGGGAGTGATTTTAGAATGTGTTTAAACTTAAGTGGCCATCAACCTAAAATAGACAGCACATGGTAACCAAAAAACAAAAATCTACAAGAAATATACAAGAAAATAAAGAAAGGAATATGAACACAACACTACAGAAAGTCATCAATATACAAGAGAAGAGAGCAATAGAATAAGAAACTAATAGAGAACTACAAAAACAATCAGAAAACAATATTACTATATACCTATCAATAATTACATTAAATGCAAGTGAGTTAAATGCTCCAATCAAAAGAGGAATGGATAAGATATGACACATATATACAATGAAATATTACTTAGTTGTAAAAAAAATACAATAAAATATTACCATTTATAACAACATGGATGTGCCCAAGGATACCAAGCTAACTGAAATAAGTCAGTCAGAGAAAGACAAATACCATATGATTTTACTTACATGTGAAATTTAAAAAATAAAACAAACAAACAACCAAACAAAAAACAAACAAACAAATTCACAGATACAGAGAACAAACCAATGGTTGCCAGATGGGAATGGGGCTGGGAGGGTAGGTGAAAAAGATGAAGGGATAAAGAAATACAATTGGCAGTTACAAAATAGTCACAAGGATGTAATTTACAGCTTAGGAAATATAGTAAATAATACTGTAATAACTGTGTATGGAATTGGGTGGGTGCAAGACTTAATTGGGGGGAAATAACTTAATAAGTTTTATAAATATCTAACCACTATGCTGTACACCTGAATCTAATATAATATTGAATGTCAACTGTAATTGAAAACAGTTTTTAATTAAAAATTTTTTATTGATTATTTAGAGAGAGAGGAAGGGATGGGGGAGAGAGAGAAACATTGATGTGAGTGTGAACATCAATTGACCCACAACCCGGGGCAACCTAGGCATGTGCCCTGACTGACTGGGAATTGAACCTGCAATCTTTTGGTGCGCAGGATGACACCCAACCAACTGAGCCACACCAGCCAAGGCAAGAAAAAAAATGTTTTATTTTTAGATACAGTGAAAGGGAGGGAGGGAGAGAGAAAGAGAGAGAAACATCGATTTGAGAGAGACACATCAATTTGTTGCCTCCTGCACCATCCTGACTAGAGCTGGATTTTTTTTTATGCTCATCCAAGGACATTTTTGCATTTATCTTCAGATAGAGTGGGAGGGAGAGAGGGGGAAAGAAAGAGAGAGAAACATCGATATGACAGAGACACATGGACTGGTTGCCACCCACACGACCCCAAACAGGGCAGGGGACAAACTGCAACCAAGGTACGTGCCCTTAGCAGGAACTGAACCCAGGACTCTCTGGTCCGCAGGCCAACACTCTAACCACTGAGCTAAATCGGTCAGGGCCAGGGCTGGAATTTAACCTGCAGCCCAGGTATATGCCCTTGACCAAGAATTGAACCTGCAACTCTTTGATCCAAAGATTGATGCTCTAACCACTGAGCCGAACCTGCCAGGGTTCGAAACCTTTTTTAAAAGAATTAACCAAAATATGAAATACTTGTACACTGAAAACTACAAAATGTTGCTGAAAGAAATGAAACAACAGGCAAATAAATGAAAAACACTCCATGTCTATGGACTGGAAGACTTAGTATTGTAAAGATATCACTACTATGCAAAACAATCTACAGATTCAATACAATATCTATCAAAATCCCAGTGACATTTTTTGCAGAAATAGAAAAACCTATCCTAAATTCATATGGACTCTCAAGGGACCATGAATAAGATAGTCTTTTCAATGAATGGTTCTAGGAAAATTGGATATACACACGAAAAGATGAATTTGGACCCTTATCTAATACCACATACATAAATAAACTCAAAATTGATCAAAGACCTAAAAGTATAAAACAGAAGAAAATGTAAGGCAAAAGATTTTGCACCAGCAACAAAAGTAAAAATAAACAAAATGAACTTCATGAAAATTAAATCTGAAAATACCCAGAATATATAGTGCTTTTCTGGTGGTGACAGGCTCCCCATGACAATATGCCTCTGGCTAAGGATCTCCTTAATTCCTCCCAGAAGAGGAGAAAAGGAAACACAAGAAGAGGTGTCTGGTACAGAGATGTGAAATGCCCAGAGCCCTGGCTGGGTTGGCTCAGCAGTAGAGCGTTGACCCGCGGACCAATGAAATGCCCAGGATGCTATAAAATCTTTACTGTCTTAGGCCATGCACAAAGAGTTGTTTTGTGTGTTAGCTGCTCCACTATCCTCTGTCAGCCAACAGGAGGAAAAGCAAGGCTGACAGAAGGAGGCTTCTTCAGAAGGAAGCAGCACTAAAAGTACCCAAATCAAGATGAGTGGGGAACCATCCCAATAAACACATTGTGGATTTAAAAAAAGAATATATACAGAACACCTAAAACTCAACAATGAAAAAAAATCTGATTCAAAAATGGTCAAAGGACTTGCATAGACATTTCTCCAAAGAATATAAACAAACGCACAATAAGTACATGACAAGATGCTTGGCATCATTAATTGTTAGGGAAATGCAAATAAACTACAATGACATACCACCTCCCAACCATTAGAAGGGTTACTATAAAATAATGATAATCATCATCATCATCCAGCCCTGGCTGGTGTGGCTTAGTTGGTAAGGCATTCTCCCATGCACTGGAAGTTGCTGGTTCAATTCCTGGTAAGGGCACATGCCTGCATTGCAGCCTTGATCCTGGTGGGGGGAGTGCAGGAGGCAGCTGATCAATGTTTCGCTCTTACATCAATGTTTTTCTTTCTCCCTCTCCCTTCCTCTCTCTCTAAAAATTAATAAAAAAATATTTTTTTAATCCAGAAAATAACAATTGTGACAAGAATATGGAGAAACTGCCCAGCTGGTATGGCTCAGTGGTTGAGCATTGACCCATGCACCAAGAGATCGCCAGTTCAATTCCTGGTCAGGGAACATGCCCAGGTTGTGGGCCAAGTCTCCAGTGGGGGGCATGCAGGAGGCAGCCAATCAATGTTCTCTCTCATTGATGTTTCTCTCTCTCTCTCTCTCTCTCTCTCTCTCTCTCTCTCAAAAGAATAAAGAAAAAAAAAGAATATGGAGAAACTAGAACCCTTGTGCACTGTGGGTGGGAATGTAAAATGATGTAGCTGCTATAAAAAACAATATGGCAGTTTCTCAAAAAAATTAAAAATTGAATTACCAGCCCTGGCAGGTGTGGCTCAGTTAGTTGGAGCATCGGCCTGTACACCAAAAGGTGGCAGGTTCGATTCCCTGTCGGGGCAGGAACAGTAGACAATTGATCAATGTTTCTCTCTCACATCAATGTTTCCCTCTCCCCCTTCCTCTCTAAAGTCAATTCAAAACAAAAAAAGAACAGAATTACCATATGATCCACCAGTTTCATTTTAAAGTATATACCCAAAACAGATCTCAAAGAGATATTTGTAAACCTATGTTCATAGACATATTATAATTCACAATAGCAAAAATGTGGAAGCAATCCAAATGTCCATCGATGGCTAAATGGATAAGTAAAATCAATAAATAAATACATTTTTTAAAAAAATATGTAGATTTAAAAAAGAAAAGAAGGTATTTTTACAATATGCTACAACATGGATGAACCTTGAGGACATTATGATACTAAAGGAAATAAGCCAGTTACGAAAAGACAAACACTATGATTCCACTTATATGAGGTACCTAGAATAGTAAAAAGCATAGAAACAGACAGTAGAACAGATGCCAGGAGATCAGGGGTGGGGGAATGGGGAGTTGTTGTTTAATAGGTATAGAGTTCCAGTTTTATAGTTTATAAGATGAAAAGGGTTATGGAGATAGATGACAGTGCACAATGTGACATAACAGTATGAATGTATCTAGTAACACTTGAACTGTAGGTTTAAAATTGGTTACGATGGTAAATTTTATGTTATGTGTATTTTATCACAATTTTTTAATTGGGGGAATAAACATCATAATACAAATTCACACCAATCAGATTGTAAAAATGTTAAAGGCTGACAAAACCAGGTATTGGTAAGTATGTTTCTTACAGTGTTAATGGGAGTGTAAATTGATACAATCTTTTCGGAGGCAATTTGACAATAATGTAGTGAAGCTGAATTTGCAAATGGACAATTCCATTTCTAGGTAGATATCCTGAAGAAACTGTTGCACACGAATAAGGAGGAGTGCACAAAGTTGTTCACTGCAACACTATCCATTAGAGCCATACAATGCAAGCAACACATAGCATTCAATTAGGAATGGATCCATATCCCAACTAATAGTCAAAATAAATGAATCAGATTTTCATATTTAGAAGGGTAAAACCTCAAACATATAATTTCAAGCCCTGGCCCTGGCCGGTTTGGCTCAGCGGTTAGAGCGTCGGCCTGCGGTCCGGAGAGACCCAGGTTCGGTTCCCGCTAAGGGCACGTACTTCGGTTGCAGTTTGTCCCTGGCCCTGGTTGGTTGAGCGGGTGGCAGCCACTCGATGTGTCCCTTCACGTCGATGTTTCTCTCTCTCTCTCCCTTCCTCTCTCTCCCTCCCACTCTATCTGTACAAAAAATGGAAAAATATCCTCGGGTGAGGATTAAAAATATATATATATATATATTTAATTTCAAGCCCTGGCCGGTTTGGCTCAGCGGTTAGAGTGTCGGCCTGTGGTCCAGAGAGAACCGGGTTCAATTCCCGCTAAGGGCACGTACCTTGGTTGCAGTTTGTCCCCAGCCCTGGTTGGTCGTGCGGGTGGCAGCCACTCGATGTGTCTCTTTCACGGTGATGTTTCTCTCTCCCTCCCACTCTACCTGAACAAAAAATGGAAAAATGTCCATGGGTGAGGATAAAAAAAAGAAGAAAAAGAAAAGAAAGAAAGAAAATGTATAATTTCAAGCAAAAAAAAATTTTTTAATAAAAGCAAATTGTATAATAATTGTCCACTGTGATACTATTTGTGTAAGTATTTAAACCACACATTATTTTGGGATGCCTGCATATGTAGTAAAAATGTAAAAATAGCCTGACTGGTATGGCTCAGTGGACTGAGCATTGTCCTGTGGACTGAGTGTTGTCCCATGGACTGTGAGGTCTGGGTTCGATTCCTAGTCAGTGCACATGCCCAGGTTTCAGGCTCAATCCCCAGTAGGGGACTTGCGGGAGGCAGCCCATCGATGTTTCTCTCTTACACTGATGTTTCTATCTCTCTCTCTCTCTCTAAAAAGTCAATAAAAAATATTTTAAAAATATATAGAAGTAGTCTTCTTTGGGGAGGGAAAGAAATGGGATCAGGATGAGATACAAAAAGGGCACATCTGTGTGTAACATTTAATTTATGTTAAATCTAGTACATGGGTGTTTATTAGTATTGCTACAAATTTGTTAGATGTTTGATATATTTCACTAAAAACAAGAGGACTCAGAACATGAGTCTTCCAGGAACTTCTAGATTTAATTTGGGAAGATTTGCAAATCATGTGAATGCATAGCAGCATTTTTAAGCTATGCCTAATAAGTCTAACAGATTTCTAAGGTCATTTTATTCCTCTTATCACCAAAAGTTTGTTAATTCATCAAAAATAATGTTTGAAGAATGCTATCCACAAAATATTTTTTAAAGTACTTACCCAATGCCCTGGCCGGTTTGGCTCAGTGGTAGAGCATCAGCCTGAGGACCAACAAGTCGCGGGTTTGGTTCCGGCCAAGGGCATGTACCTACGTTGCGGTTCGCCCCCGGCCCTGGTCTGGGTTGTGCGAGAGGTATCTAGTCGGTCGATGTGTCACTCTCATGTTGATGTTTCTCTCCCTCTCCTTTTCTCCCTCTATTTCCCTCCCACTCTATCTGAAGATAAATAGGAAAAAAAAAAAGTACTTACCCAATAAACAGAGATAGTTGGGTTCAGTCAATCTGGACAGTTTTGTGACCTGATTCAAGATATTGTAAAGCTCTGTTGGTTCACATAAAACTAAACCAGCCATCCTAATGGGAAGAAGCAATAATGTAAAGCTTAGTACCTCTTTCTATTTTAAATGAATGGTCAAAAGTAAGGTATTGAATTAAAGTCTAACACATCTTCAGGCAAAGATTAAAGTAATCATGTACTTCACAGAAAAGCTTCCAAATCTTGTAGTGAGCCCTGCCTGGTGTGGCTCAGTGGGCTGGAGTATCATCCCATACACCAAAAGGATGCAGGTTCAATCTGGTTAGGGCTTGTGCAGGAGCCAGCCAATCAATAATTCTCTCTCACATCACCTCCCCACCCCACACCCGCCCCGTCCCTGGGTTTGTTGCCCATGTCTATTGGTTATGTATACATGCATATAAGATCTGTGGTTTATCTCTTCCCATCCCCCCACCCCCTCTTCTGACGGATGTCAATCTGTGCCCTACTTCCATGTTTCTGGGTCTACCGTATTCCTCAGACTGTTATGTTCATTATATTTTGTATATAAGTGAGATCATGTGGTATTTGTCTTTTTTTCCTTGGCTTATTTCACTTAGGATAATACTTTCCAAGTCCCTCCATGTCGTCTCAAAGGATAAGAGATCTTTCTTTTTTACAGCTGCATAGTACTCCATTGTGTATATGTACCACTGCTTTTTTATCCATTCTTCTACTGATGGACACTTGGGCTGTTTCCAGATCTTAGCTATTGTAAATAGTGCTGCTATGAACATGGGGGTACATATATTCTTTCTGATTGGTGTTTCAGGCTTCTTAGGGTATATTCCTAGAAGTGGGATCACTGGGTCAAATGGGAGTTCCATAGTGGCTGCACCAGTCTGATTCCCACCAGCAGTGTATTAGAGTCCCCTTTTCTCCACACCCTCGCCAACACTTGTTGTTTGATGATTTGTTGATGGTGGCCATTCTGACAGGTGTGAGGTGATACCTCATTGTTGTTTTAATTTGCATCTCTCTGATGATTAGTGATGTTGAGCATTTCTTCATATGTCTCTTGGCCATTTGTATGTCCTGTTTGGAGAGGTGTCTATTCAGCTCCTCTGCCCATTTTTAAATTGGGTTCTTTGTCTTCCTTTTGTTGAGTTGTATGAGCACTCTATATATATTGGAAATTAACCCCTTATCTGATATATCATTGGCAATGATGTTCTCCCATACAGTGGGTTGCCTTTCCATTTTGATGATTGTTTCTTTTGCTGTGCAGAAACTTTTCAGTTTGATGTAGTCCCATGTGTTCATTTTTCCCTTTGTTTCTGTTGCCTTAGGTGATGTATCAGTGAAAATTCTGCTCCATATGATGTCCGAAATTTTGTTGCCTACATTTTCTTCTAGAATTTTTATGGATTCACGGGTCACATTTAAGTCTTTTATCCATTTTGAGTTTATTTTTGTGTATGGTGTAAGTTGATGGTCTAGTTTCATTTTTTTGCATGTAGCTGTCCAATTTTCCCATTTATTAAAGAGGCTGTCTTTACTCCACTGTATACTCTTGCCACCTTTGTCAGATATTAATTGAGCATATTGCTTTGGGTCCATTTCTGGGTTTTCAGTTCTGTTCCACTGGTCTACATGCCTGTTCTTGTGCCAGTACCAGGCTGTTTTGATTACAGTCGCTTTGTAGTATAATCTGATATCTGGTATTGTGATCTCACCTACTTTGTCCTTCTTTTTCAAAATTGCTGTGGCTATTAGGGGACTTTTTTGGTTCCATATGAACTTTTGAAGTATTTGTTCTAGTTCTATGAAATATGTCATCGGTGTTTTGATGGGGATTGCATTGAATCTATAGATCGCTTTGGGTAATATGGACATTTTAATGATGTTAATTCTTCCAATCCATGAACAAGGTATGTGCTTCCACTTTTTTATATCTTCCTCTATTTCTTTTTCAATGTCCTGTAGTTTTCTGCAAATAGGTCCTTTACTTCTTTGGTTAAGTTTATTCCTAGGTATCTTAATTTTTTTGCCACGATGGTAAATGGAATTGTTTTTTCGGTTTCTCTTTCTGTGAGTTCATCGTTGGTGTATAAGAATGCCGTTAATTTCTTGACATTAATTTTGTATCCTGCTACTTTTCCAAATTCATTTATTAAGTCTAGTAGATATTTGATGGAGTCTTTAGGGTGCTCTATGTATAATATCATGTCATCTGCAAATAATGACAGTTTCACTTCCTCCTTTCCAATTTGGATCCCTTTTATTTTTTCCTCATGTCTGATTGCTGTGGCTAAGACTTCCAGTACTATGTTAAATAAGAGTGGCAAAAGTGGACATCCCTGTCTTCTTCCTGTTCTTAATGGAAATGTTTTTAGTTTCTGCCCATTGAGTATGATGTTGGCTGTAGGTCTTTCATATATGGCCTTAATTATGTCTAGATATGATCCCTCTATTCCCACATTGCTGAGCGTTTTTATCAGAAATGGATGCTGGATTTTGTCGAATGTTTTTTCAGCATCTATTGATATTATCATGTAGTTTTTATTCTTCATTTTGTTTATGTGGTGTATCACGTTTATTGATTTGCGAATATTGTACCAGCCTTGCATCCCTGGAAAGATTCCCACTTGGTAATGGTGAATAATTTTTTTGATGTATTGCTGGATCCGATTTGCTAGTATTTTGTTCAGGACTTTGGCGTCTATGTTCATCAGGGATATTGGCCTGTAGTTTTCTTTATTTGTAGTGTCTTTTTCTGGTTTTGGAATTAAAATTATGCTGGCCTCATAGAACGTGTTTGGAAGTCTTCCTTCTTCTTGAATTTTTTGAAATAGTTTGTGGAGAATAGGTGTTAGTTCTTTTTTGAATGTTCAGTAAAACTCCCCTGTGAAGCCATCTGGGCCTGGGCTTTTGTTTACTGGGAGAGTCTTGATTACCTCTTCAATTTCCTTAGTTGTTATTGGTCTGTTCAAGTTTTCTATCTCTTCCCCATCCAGTTTTGGGAGACTGTGTGTTTCTAGAAATTTGTCCATTGCGCTTAGATTGTCGAGTTTGTTGCCATATAATTGTTCATAGTAGCTGTTAACAATCTTTTGTATTTCTGTGGTGTCAGTTGTTACTTCTCTTTCATTTCTGATTTTGTGTATTTGGGTTCTCTCTGTTTCTTGATGAGTCAACAATCTTTTGTATTTCTGTGATGTCGGTTGTTACTTCTCCTCTTTCATTTCTGATTTTGTGTATTTGGGTTCTCTCTGTTTCTTGATGAGTCTAGCTAAGGGTCCATCAATCTTGTTTATCTTTTCGAAAAACCAGCTCTTTGTTTCATTGATCCTTTGAATTGTTTTTTTGGTCTCTATGTCATTTATTTCTGCTCTGATCTTTACTATTTCCTTTCTTCTACTAGCTCTGGGGTTTTCTTTTTGTTTGCTTTCTAATTCTTTAAGTTGTGAGGTTAGACAGTCAATTAGAAATTTTTCTTGTTTCTTGAGGTAGGCCTGTAGTGCTATGAACTTCCCTCTCAGAACTGCTTTTGCTGCATCCCATAGATTTTGTGTTGTTGTGTGTTCATTTTCATTGGTTTCCAGGAAGTTTTTAATTTCTTCCTTGATCTCCTCGGTAACCCATTCATTGTTTAATAACATGCTATTTAGCCTCCATGTGTTGAAATGTCTTTGCATGTTCTTGATGCAATTGATTTCTAGTTTCATGCCATTGTGATCAGAGAAGATGCTTGATATGATTTCAATCTTCTTGAACTTGTAGAGATTTAGTTTGTGTCCTATCATGTGGTCTATCTTTGAGAATGTCCCAAGTGCACTTGAGAAGAATGTGTATTCTGTAGTTTTGGGGTGTAATTCTCTGTAGATATCTATTAAATCCATTTGGTCTAGTGCTTCATTTAGAGTCTCTGTTTCCTTGCTAATTTTTTGTCTAGAGGATCTATCCACTGCTGTCAACAGGGTGTTGAAGTCCCCTGCTATGATTGTGTTGCTGTCGATTTCTCCTTGGAAGTCCTCCAGAAGATTTTTAATATATTTTGGTGCTCCTATATTGGGTGCATATATGTTTATCAAGGTTATATCTTCCTGTTGGATAGATCCTTTCAATATTATGTAGTGGCCTTCTTTGTCTCTAGTTATGGCCTTCATTTTGAAATTTATTTTATCAGATATGAGTGTTGCTACCCCAGCTTTTTTTTTTTTTTTTTGCTTTCCATTTGCTTGGAAAATTTTTTTCCATCCCTTCACTTTCAACCTATATGAGTCTTTTGTTGTGAGGTGGGTCTCTTGTAAACAACATATAGATGAGTCATGCTTTCTTATCCAATCAGCTACTCTGTATCTTTTTATGGAAGCATTCAATCCACTTACATTTAAGGTGATTATTGATATGTACTTATTTATTGCCATTTTTGTTTAGTGTGGTTCTATTTTTCTTCCCATTTCTCCTGCTAATTACAGCAGTCCTTTTAACATTTCTTGCAGTGCTGGTTTAGTGCTAATGTATTCCCTTAGCCTTTTTTTTTTTGTCTGGGAAGCTCTTTATTTGACCTTCTATTTTGAATGATAGCCTTGCTGGGTAGAGTAGTCTTGGATTCAGATCTTTGTTGTTCATGACCTTGATTACTTCATGCCATTCCCTTCTGGCCTGTAGTGTTTCTTGTGAGAAGTCAGCTGAGAGCCTTATGGGGTTTCCTTTGTAGGTAACCTGTTGCTTCTCTCTTGCTGCTTTTAGGATTCTCTCTTTGTCTTGAATTTTTGGCATTTTAATTACTATGTGTCTTGGTGTGGGCCTGTTTGGGTTCTTCTTACTTAGGACTCTCTGTGCTTCTTAAACTTGAATGCCTTCTTCCTTCACCAAATTAGGGAAGTTTTCTGTCACTATTTTTTTGAATATATTCTCTATCCTTTGCTCGTTTTCTTCTTCATTATTACGTTTCCAGTTGTCCCACAGTTCTCTTAAGCTGTCTTCCTGTTTTTTAATCGTTTTTTGTTTTTTTTTTAGGTTTTCTGATTGGTTGATTTTTTTCTACCCTGTCTTCTAATTCACTGATCTGATCCTCAGCTTCCTCTACTC